AGAACCGTATGAGCCAGCCACGTATAGAGACCACTGAGCCTGCTACAGAGGTCCTGGAACTCGAATGGGACACTACAGTCTCCCTCGCCTCAAATCCCTGTCATCCTTCAGTCTCGGATCTCCCTGTCCCTGGCCTCTAGATCCAGATTTAAAAGGCTCATGGAAGTGGGGCAGGCCCACTTGGGGAGGGGAAAAGTAGATTTTACATGTGGGAAAGAAGGCTCGAGTGACACCTCTGGGTCAGTGCTCTCACTGTCCCTCTGCCAGGATGACCAGCATGTTCCAGAGAGTCTGTTCCATCAACCTGTCTGTCCCCGGGTGCCTCGCTGGGAACTCATAGCTTGGCCAGAAATAAACCTTTGAGATCTGCAGGTTGTTCGTTCTGAGGAACGGCCCAGCCTCTTTTGACTGATACAGTTTATCTTACCCTTGGAAGGGGTGTCCTCAGAGCTTCTGCCCTGCTCCAGTTTCGTCTGGTTGCCCTCTGGACCCCTCCCCACCCTCCCATGTGGGGTGCTTCCTGGATCATGTGCCTCCCTCTTCATTGTTGGAGCTCTTCATCTTGGAAGTGTTATCTCTGGTAGCTTCCTACCATGAGAAACAATATACGCAAGGTAAATTTTGTGGGACCTCGTGCATCTAAAAATATTTGGTTTGTACTTTGGGTGAAGATGGGAAAATAATTTTACTTTAGGTTGCCTGAGGCTTTGTTCCTTGCCTTCTAACTTCTACTTGTTGCTGTGGAGGAGCTCACAGACATTCTTGACTCCTGACAATCTTGATGTGACCTGCTTCTATTGTCAGGACACTTCTTGTCCCCATTATTCCGAACTTCAACAGCAATCTGCTTTTGGGTAGGGCTATTTTCTTCCCAGCGTGCCGGGCTCCCTGTGGGCCCTTTCAACACACATTCTTCACTAGTGGAGACTTTTCTTGGGTTAATTCATTGATGACTATGCCCACCCCTTGTGTTTTCTCTAATCGTTCATTCAGGGTCCCTGTTTTTTGATCAATGGACTTTCTGGATGGTCCTCTAATTTTTTTCTCTATTTCCCATCTTTGGCGTTCTTTTTTGTTCTACTTTAAAAAAAAAGATTTTATTTATTTTAGGGAGAGAGAGAGAGAGAAAGAACACAAGTGGGGCAGGAGCAGAGGGAGAGGGACAAGCGGACTCCATGCTGAGCACAGAGCCTGATGCAGGGGCCAATCCCAGCACCCTTAGATCATGACCTGAGAGGAAATCAAGAGTCAGATGCTCAACCGACTGGGCCACCCAGGCACCTCTTATCCTACTTTCCTAGGGATTTCCTCAACTTTATCCTCCATTTCCCCTCTTGAAGGTTTTTCCTTTCTGCTATCTTATTTTAAATTTCCAAGAGCTTTGTTAGTTCTCTGAATGTTTCTTTACATGTGTCCCGCTTTCATGGGTTGCAATATCTTAATTTCTTCAATGACATTATTAGTAGTTATGTTGTCGTGGACTTCTCTCTGTATAGTCTCTGTATATTCCAACTTGCTTTTAAAAAAATCCATTGGGGCTCTAGATTTCATGACACAGGGCTTTCCTGAGATGCCAGGTCAACTTTGGCTGTGTGTCAAAGGCTGATTAGAAGCCCTATCCACACATGTGGGGCTCATGAACAGTGGCCTTTCCTTTGGGTGATCTGGCATAGTTGTGCAACCACAGCTGCCAAAAAGTTTAGGTATTTCCCTTGGCCTGGTCTGATGCCACAGAAAAGACCCTTTGTCTCCTGGCTCCTGCCATCTTAAATGCCAAAAAGGGAGCAGGGTTGGTCTCACCATCCAGTGTCTATCTGCTCATTTAATTCCCCCCCTTCCTATTATGGCTCCTCCACTGTCAACTGTGCCTGGGGTCTCCCAACCCAAGATGCTCCTTTATACCTTCTTTAGACAATAACCATCAGCTTTTGTCAGAGGATCTGGGCAACTCTGTACTTCTTAGCCAAGCTTTCCAGTTTATTCTTAGGTTAGCCTCTCATTCACATTCACGTCCAGAGGTACCTAGTGCCACCCATTCGTGACCTTTCTGGATATTCCAAGGTATGTTCCTGGCTCTCATTTCAGGATTTCATTTTCTCCAGTCTGCTAAGTATTGTAGCTTCAAAAATTGTGGTGTTGTTACTTCTTCCCTTGCTCTCCCTATCCTTGCCAATTTCTGTCTTATAACAAACTTACTGTTGTTTCAGGAGGCTCCAGAAATGAAAAGCCAGTCCACCACCTTTACCAGAAACCCCAGTCTTGAACCTCTTTACTCCCCAGACACATCTCCATGTACTTGTTCTCATCTGATCTTCCTGCTTTTTTATATTCTGTGCCTTCCACCTGACACTTGACCCCCACTCACCCTCATATATACAATGAGCTACCTCTGCCAGAATTCTGGTTAGCAAGAAAAACATGGACTCACAGCTCTGGGGAAGAGAAATCCATCTCTGGATACTGGAACATACTTCTACATGGTAAAGGCTGCAGGGTCTGAGCCCTTCAGTGATCACCAGATGGGTGAGAAACCAGCCAAGGGGCTGAGTTTTGCATCTGGAGTGCCACAGGGCACCCCTGAAACTCCTAGGGAGACAGCACTCAGCACTCATGGAGAGGCCTAGGGACTGCTCTGGGCTGTGGATGGAGGTGGGGTGTGTGGCAATGCAGAGGACCCTTGACCCAGGCTGACCTCCCCTCACCCAGAGCAAGTGTCTTGTCCATGGCTGTGTGGCCCAATGTCTAGAATAGTGCATACCTGTAGGAGGATGGCCAGTGCGTGTGTGCCCTCAGGCTGTGGGGGTGGGGGGGGGGGGCTGGTATCCCAGCAGGGGTCATGGAGAAAGCCAAAAGATGTGGAATCTCAAAGACTGGGCAGAATCCCCCACCCCAGCTGGAGGGGAATAGAGAGGGGATGGGTGCTGGTAAGTGACTGACTGTGGCATGTGGTGGGACTACAAGAACATTCTGCATCATTATTTGGTCAGAACACAAATCTCTTAAATGTCATCAACACAATCTGCCTGACAGAATGATTCCTTCCTGCCAGGAGAGGGCCCTGACCCAGATGGCCCTTACAGAGCCCACCGCAGGGAAGCAGGCCAGTAGTCTTCCCACAGGGAACCAACTTGATCAGTGAGAGGGGAGTTTATTTAGGGTTTCGGTTACAGACACCCAGGGTGCTCAATCATCCATGCCAGTTTACGGTTCCCCCTAGCAAGTAACAGAGAACATCTCTCTCAGTTCCTTCTTCATTACCTGGAAAGACGTTTTTTTCCTACCCAGGCCTCAAATTAATTTGGTGAGAAATGGATGCTCTTAATTTTGTGCACACGATGACCTCGCCCCACCCAGCCTTCTTCTCAGGTCCGCAGGGTTTGAGTGCCTGGGCTGCCGTCACCCAGTCACCCAGCAGGGTCCCCTTGCGGCGGGCGGACACGTGCAAACCGTCCATGAAGGCAAACCACCCAGGGGGCTAACCCAGGCCTCCGCCTTCCGGTTCAGGGGCTGCCGGTGAGGGTCCGGAAAGGGTCTTGCGGCGCTTGATTCGGAAGCAGTAGAAAGTAATATACTGGTCTCTCCAGAGATGGCCTAGGCCTGCAGAAGGACGGTGGGGCCGAGGCGATGAGGGTGGGGGCGCCGGTGAGAGTCAGGGAGGGGCAAGTTGGCAGGGCCCGGACAAGGAGTACGCGGGCTGGGCGCCGCGGAGAATTTCCTTCGGGAGGCCCAGACAGTGGGTGGGTGGGGCGCAGTGGGCGGGGTCCTCGCAGCTGGTGGCGTTTGAAGCCTTCCCCACCGCCGTGGGAGAGGGGCAGCCTGGAGAAGTTGTTGGCAGCAGGCCGGACCGGGGAGGAGGAAGGGGCCCCGCGTTCCCTGAACGGCGGCGCCGGTTGCACCAGCACGTAGTTCACTCCTGCAAGCACAGTACGCGGTGGGCACGTCACCCACGCTGGCAGGTTAACCACCAGCCGGGGGCCAGTCCGACTCCGGCCGACATAGGCTCACCCGCAGCGCGATCCCCTCGGGGTCCCCGGCTGCTCGGTCGGGGAAGCAGCCGGTCCTTCCTGCGGGAGCGGCCTCGCCCCACCCGAGACCTCGCTCCCACCCGGGCCGCACAGAGTTCCGGAGCTGAGCAGAGGGAGAGAGCATGGAGGGGGCGAGCGGCCTGCGCCTCGAGGCGCGGCCACCTAGGAACCCTGCTGCGGCGGGGTGCCCGGGGAGTTGTTCCGCCCCCAGGCCAGGCCGGCAGCCCCACGCCCAGCCGGAGCGGACACGCCTCCCCGCCGTGCATACGCCGCTCTGGAAGGAAAGAGAGAAGCGGAGGCGAGCCCCACGGAGGCGCGCCCATCCCCAGCGCCCCTCACAGGCGGGGACGGAGGGACAAAGGGGCGCCCTCCCAAGCGCTCGCTTCCACTCCAGGGTTCGAGGTTGTCACCGTACAGAAGCCGTGGCAAGAAAATGCCCCGCGGGCTCCCGCTGCTAGGGGGGTGGGGTCGGGTCGGGTCGAGTGGGGTGGGGTGGGGTGGGGTGGGGAGCGGTCTCCGCGCAGCCACGCCCCGGCCCGCCGCCCTCGGACGTCCTGCGTCAGCGTGCCCGGCTCTCGGCTCAAATTTCCGCTCCTCCTCCCGCGGGCCAAGAGGGCACGCCCATTGGCGAGCTCAGGCCCCCAGGCCGGGTCGGCCCCTCTGGCCGCCTGGATTGGTCCGACCGCCTACCGACGAACCAACGGCGTCAGCCCCTTTCTAGGCCACGCCCCCTCCTCAGCCGCGGGCGCGCGACCGCTCTATCTTGACGATGCGCGCTCTGGGATCCCCGCCCCCTCCGCGCGCGCAGTTCCCCGCGGCCGCCGCCGCCTGTAACCTGCGCCGCCAGGATGTGGCTGGGGGCTGACGTCGGGTCCAGATGTGGCCCCGGCCCCGCCCACCCCCGGGGCCGGGCCGCCCACACCGAGCCGCGGCGCGCACGGCGGCTGTCCCGCCTGCCACAATGCGCGGCGAGGCTGCGGCCGCGACTTGGCGAGGTAGTCCCTAACGTCGCTGCTCGGCATCCTTAGGACAGGCCGCCCCTGACGCCGCGCGGGGACCCCACTGGCCCGCACCCCCCATGTGTTCACTCTTTGGTGCCCGGCCGGGCGGGCGCCTTGCGGACGCGGAGCCGCGCGGGTGACGGCAGAGGCGGCTGCGCGCCCAGCCCAGCCCGCGGAGAGGGCGCGCCGCGCCCCCGCCCCCCGCCCGCTCTCGGGAGGCCGTGGGTGCGGATGCGCCGCTGACGACTCGCAGCGACCAGCAGTGCTGCCGGCCCGCCGGCCGGAGCCCGCAGCATGGCAGCCGCCGCCTATGTGGACCACTTCGCCGCCGAGTGCCTCGTGTCCATGTCGAGCCGCGCGGTCGTGCACGGGCCGCGGGAGGGTCCGGAGCCCGGACCCGAGGGCGCGGCCACCGCTGTCGCCGCCACGCTGCCCCGCGTCGAGGAGCGCCGCGACGGCAAGGACAGTGCCTCGCTCTTCGTGGTGGCGCGGATCTTGGCGGACCTCAACCAGCAAGCGCCGGCGCCCGCCCCGGCGGAGCGCAGAGAGGGCGCCTCGGCCCGGAAGGCGAGGACCCCCTGCCGCTTGCCGCCAGCGCCGCCACCCGCCCCCGAGCCGGCCTCCCCCGGCGGCGAAGGTGCTGCGGCCGCGCCCCTCAGCCCCGCGTGGAGCGAGCCCGAGGCCGAGCTCGAGGCGGGGCTGGAGCCGGAGCGGGAGCCAGGGCCCGCGGGGAGCGGCGAACCCGGCCTCAGACAAAGGGGCCGGCGGGGCCGAAGTCGCGCCGACCTCGAGTCCCCGCAGAGAAAGCACAAGTGCCACTACGCGGGCTGCGAGAAAGTTTACGGGAAATCCTCGCACCTCAAGGCGCACCTGAGAACTCACACAGGTCAGTAGGGCCGCCCGGGCGCCCCGAGCGCGCGGACGGGGACAGCGCCAGCCACCGGGCCACGCCCCCGGAGCTGCCGGCGGGGCGGGAGGGGCGGTCGGGCGGGGAACGGTCGGGGCCTCGCCCCTTCCCCCGCCACACGGTCCAGTGGTCGACCCCGCGCGCGGAGCGAGACGGGTCCGGGAGCTGGGAGCCGGCGCCCGCTCGGCGACCGCGCCCCCGCCGGGCACGCCCCCTCCCCGGGCACTCTCGGGCGGGGCCGCGGGGGCGGATGTCGTCATCGGGGCTGCGGGCGTAGACCCCGCGGGGGGCGGGGGGGTGGCGCGGGCAGGTGCGGGCGAGCTGGGTGGGGACCTCGCGTGCTGCTCGGGGAGCTGGGCGGCGGGGGCGCCCCGGGGCCGCGGGGGAGGGGTTTCCTCGCCCCGGCCCCTCCCCTGCCGGCCCCTCCCCCGCCGGCCTAGCGCGCTCTCAGGAGGGGAGGGGCCCACCCAGCCCGGCCCGGCCCGGCCCGGGCGAGCGGCGGGCTAAGTTCACGCGGGGACAAGGCTCCCTCCAGCCACTCGGCACATTCTTCGCTCTCCTCTTCCTGTAATTTTTCCAGCGTTCTAAGGTTTAATTTGTCGAAACTAGAGCCAGCAGCGGCAGAGGCGGGGGGCGGTCCGGGTTCTCTGCCGGAGGCTCTTTGTGGGAGCCCCGCCCATCCGGCCAGCGGGGGCGCGCCCGACCCGAGAGGGCTCTTAGGCCTGGGGGCGCTTTCTCCAGAAAGGAGCGCCCAGTCCACAGCCGGTTCATCCGCGCCGCCCTTTTCTCCGCGCTGCTCTCACCTGCCGGGCGGCACCTGCACGGGGGGCGGTCGGTCTCAGAGGACCATCGCCTGACCCCCGACCCCCGGACAGCCCTCCCCTTCCCGTGGGCCCGGAACCTCGTCGTTGGATGTTTTTCGTTTTTTTTAAACAACGGTGGGATGCAACCTTTCTCTCTCAGTTTGGTTTAAAGAATTGTGTATTTTTCCTGGGCTCACGCCAACTTTTCTGTTACACTTAATTCTTCCACATTTGGACCAGGTTAAAAACCCGTATAAATAAAGTTGTCTTGTTACCAGCGATTTAGACTTCACATTTATAAAACAGTACAGAAACTGGTTAAAAGACTGGAGTAAAAACGGCAGTCCTCAAGACCCTGGAGCTGAAAGACCCCTTTCTCCTGGTAAATTTGGAACTGAGCTGTCCCAAGGTCTTCAGGTGTCAAGACCGGCGGATTTCAGACGAACCTTTACCTCGGAGGCTGCCCTCCGCGGTTTTGGTCCCTTGCTGCGAGCGCCCCAAATCACGTGGCTGGTGGTGGGGTCGAGGGTGAAGGCGGGGCCATTTCTACTCATTCTGAGTCAGAATTAAGTGTGTGTGGACAGATATAGGGGGTGGGGTTAGTGTAGGGATGGATGTTGGTTCAATTTAGGAACGTTGTTGCAAGGGTGGGTGTGGCCGTAGGGGAGGGATCAAGCTAGGTTGGGATCCTGGAGCACCCAGATTACGGGGGCAGTTCCAGTGCGTGGGTCTTGGCTCGAGGACCGATTTGGGGCGCGAGGTCTGTAGTGGACCGGTAATTTAAGGATTGGATACTTCGCAGCCTGCTTCACTGTGGCCTTCCAGCCGGCTAGCGGGGTTCGAGAATTGCGGAGGGGCTGGCTGAGGGGCGGGGCTCGCTGTCGTGGGCGGAGCAGGCTTGGATGGGGGCCTGAGCTGGAGGATAGCTTGTGGGTTGGTTCACTCCCTAATTCAGGCTCCAGTGTCCCTGAGCGGGTTCCTTGGCGAGAAGATTAGACAGAGGCGATGGGAACCCGGGTCTCCCCCAGTGGGTGGAACCCAGTCTCTCTGGGGTGATTTGAAACCCCAAACAGGCAAGAGAGGATGGACCGCACACTGGCTGCAGTGTGCTGAGTCTAAGAGCAGGGAGCCAGCCTTGCCCTCCAAGTGTGCCCTACCTCCACAGCAGATGTAGACCTTCGAGTCAGGAATGTACAGGGTTCCTTTGGGGGCCTTGGAAATGTAGATTTCCAGGTCCCAGATATTGACCTCCCACTGAACACACAGTTTAAGTGGTGCCCCACGTGAATCTGATTATGAACCATTATGCCTCTGGAGGGTGTCTGGTTCAGCTTCTGGTGGAGGGCACCTCTAGGGAGCCCATTTCCAGTCTGTGCCCAGGTGTGCAGAACATAATTAGCTGGTGTTCATAGAGGGGAAAGGGGTAGCTCACAGGCCACAGTGGTGACTGAGAGGCCAGGCTACCCTGGAAAGACCTGAGCAGCAGACATTGGTTCTGAGGTTGCTGTGGTTTGGTTTGTGGGCTTCCAACAGCCTTCTGAGGGGTCCCTGCTGGCAGTGGTTCAAGTCATGCCAGGCCTTACTCCACTAGGAACCACCACCACCACCACCACCACTCCACCCACCCATAGTGATTTTATGGCAGGGGGTGAATATCAAACCCACTTGAGCCAAGAAGGCAGTTCCCAGCTTGCTCTGTCTAGCCCTGTGGGCAAGGACAGGTCCCCAGACCTCCCTGCAGCTTGGTGATGTCTCCCCTGACCACTTGGAAGGTGTGGGAAATGAGGCTATGAGTTTGAGAACCCTTCGGGAAGGACAAGGCTGAGCCTTGACTCTAGGGAGACCCAGCCTTCCCTGACTCTGCTGTGGTCACCCACCCACACTGCCTGTCCCAACTGAATGCAAAAGAGCTGCCTGTCCTGGTTAGTTGTATGCCAGTCTCCTGGGGACTGATTACCCTGTTAAATTAAGGTAATTGTTGATATTATAGCAAACATGTGATGAAGCAAAGACACTAAGGTTTTTGCAACTCAACACACTTTTTTTTTTTTTTTAAGTCACTTATTGGCTAGTCAGATCTTCCCAGTCCAGATCTGGGAATTTGCTAAGTCTTGCCTTAGGGAATAGCAAGACCAGTAACATATTTTCTTGGGAGGCTGAAGGGCTTTGATGTGAACATTCAGGACTTGCAGAAGGGAAGGCCTGGGGCCCTCTGAGGGCCGATCTTCCCTCTGAGCCAGCCAGGCCCTTCACCTGGAGATTCCTGCTTGTTGTGCGGGGTGGTGGGGCTTGGCAGGCCCCAGCAGAATGGTCACTCAGCCTTTCTTGGCAGAGATGCCTTGAATACATTCCTACCTATTTGTTTCCACAAAGAATTGTTTTCAGAATGCCTCTGTGCCCTGTTTTCCCTGCAGCACGAGGAGCTAAAACATCCGATTGTGAGCTGCCTGGGCTGGGTCCAATTTAGCAACTCTGGGGGCCTGGCTGGAAAGGGGGACATTGTGCTGTACGCAGCTCCTCCCTCCTGCCTACCTCAGGAGAGACACATCCCTGGTTACCTGGCCCTCTTTGGGGTGGGGGTGGAAGTAGAGTAAGATTGCCTTCTCTCTGCCATTTCCTGTAATAATTTGGGTGGGGTTAGTTTGAAGTTTATCTTGAGCCTCCAAACAAGGGATTTGATCATGAATGAGATTATTGGGGCAGGGTATTTAGGCTCCCTCCCCCAACACAAAGTCCGGCCCTAGAGCCTGGTTTCCAGCCACGTTGTTCTCCTGGGCCCCTCGCAGGTGCCCTCCTGCGCAGCTGCCTTGGACCAGCAGCCTGCCCGGTAGAGTGTGAGCCACTTTAGCTCTCCTGCACCCCGGGCAAAGCCAGGCTGGCACAGAGCCAGCACTTTGTTCAGGATACAGGCAGGCTGGCGGTTCCCATCCCTGCTCCCGCATGGTCCTAGCCTGCCAGGGGGCCTAGTTGTGAAATTCTTCAAACAACACAGAAGCGTGTAGACAGAACGTGCCAGCCTTCCCCTCCTCTGGCTAACCACCCTCCCCACGTGTTGGTGTATCCCTTTCCAGGCCCTTGTAATGGATTTATGTTACGCACGCACATGCAGACATTTGAAAAGTACACATGCAGGATCCTAGCAAATACATTCTACCACAGGATTCTGTTGTGTACTTGTTTCACGAGGCACCTTCGTTCTTTTTCCTGCCTGCGTGGTACTCCACCTGGCTGCACGGTCCACAACCTGTGAACCCCTCACCTGCTGGAAGGATACTGCATTGCCTTTCCCGTGTTTTGCTGTTTCGTGCCTGTAGCAGTGGACTCTGGTGTGGGTGTTGGTGCAGGGGAGCTGGCATTTCTATAAGATCGAGCCTTGGCAGTGTTACTGACCGTAGTGTAGACGGCATTTCAAAGCACTGTGGAGTTTCTCTGTTGACTTAAAAGACACTAATTATGTTTTTAAAGGAAATAGCACATTATGTTTTTAAAGGAAATAGATGGAGGTCTTGGTCTCCCCAGTACTGAGGTTCCTGCTGTGTTGCTGCCTTTTTTTCTTTTTTTTTTTTTTTAAACTTCTCCCAGTTCTCCTTTTGCGTGTGTGAGATCGTCATATTGAGAACATTTTAGAACAACACGAACAAAACCACCATTACTCTCTCACGCCTCATGCCTTCCCACCATCTTTACTTGGCTTACCCTGTGGCCCCGCCCGGGTCAGGTGTGCACACCCCATCCCCCATGCCTCTGCCTCCTGGCTTGTTGGCACTGGGCACGGGGCTGGTGTGATGCCATTTGAAACTCTCCCTTCTCTGGCTAAAAGAGGGCTGGAGCCCCTCCCGTGTGAACCAGCCGATAGCACCACACTTGAGTGAGGAGAGGTCCTGCATGTGGGGCATCAGATCTGGAACACAACACAGGTGGGGCCCTGGCCCTTAAGAGGAGGTGCTCTGAAGCGGGCTCACTGAACCCAGCCCGCAGCAGCCCAGACACAGTGAGGGCCCGTTTGGTTGACCTTGCTCTGAATCCAGTTGGTCGTTGGGTTCCTAGACGTAGCAAATCAAAAGGGGAAGAGGGAGATGTGTTGATAGCGGCTACAAGTGAGGAAGGAAAGAAACCAAGTTACTAGTATGTGTTCATCGGTATCTGCTCGTGTCCTTAAGTATGTAACTTGAGAAG